GCATAGTGCCGCTGCCTGTGGCATAGTGCCCCTGCCTGTGGCATAGTGCCCCCTTCTTGTGGCATAGTGCCCTTGCCTGTGGCATAGTGCCCCTGTCTGTGGCATAGTGCCCCTGTCTGTGGCATAGTGCCCCTGCCTGTGGCATAGTGCCCCTGCCAGTGGCATAGTGCCCCTGTCTGAGGCATAGTGCCCCTGCCTGTGGCATAGTGCCCCCTGCCTGTGGCATAGTGCCCCTGCATGTGGAATTATGCCCCTGCCTGTAGCATGGTACCCATACCTGTTGTGGGGGGGGGGGGGGGAGATGTGCGTGTGGGGGGGGGTGCGTGCGTTCCTACCTGCTTGTGTCTGTCCTTGAGAGTGGAAAAGATTAGTATAAGATTAGAATTCATAGTAAATCGTTCAGTGAAACCCTTAATTCGCTAAATACCGAAGCGAGCATTTATGTCCACCTTCTGGTAGACATTTCTTTAAGTACGCCATTATAAAAGCGGATCTGCAATGTGTAGTGTGAATGTCTGGGAATATCAGAACGAGGAACTGAGAGTATATGTGAACCTTGAGAGCCAACAGAAACATAATTAGCAAGAGCTAGTAATTGTTATCTAATATATCAGCGTTAGAAGTTGGTTAAATTAAGTCAGTAGTAACATCTTCAAGACCTTGCAGAATCCCTAACCGCACCCAACACCCTCTTGACGACCTTCCAACGTCAATAACTGCATCGTTATCTTTTTGAGGATCTTGCAACGTCTCGAACAGCCTTAACGTCTTCTTGAGAAATTTGCAGCATTACCAACGTAATAATATCTTGCAGATCATGCAGCACCACCACCGTCACTAACCACACCACCACCGTCACTAACCACACCACCACCGTCACTAACCACACCACGTCATAACCACACCGTCACTAACCACACCACCACCGTCACTAACCACACCCCCACCGTCAATAACCACACCACCACCGTCACTAACCACACCACCACCGTCACTAACCACACCACCACCGTCACTAACCACACCACCACCGTCACTAACCACACCACCACCGTCACTAACCACACCACCACCGTCACTAACCACACCACCACCGTCACTAACCACACCACCACCGTCAATAACCACACCACCACCGTCACTAACCACACCACCACCGCTACTAACCACACCACCACCGTCACTAACCACACCCCCACCGTCAATAACCACCCCACCACCGTCACTCACCGTCACTAACCACACCACCACCACCACACCACCACCGTCACTAACCACACCACACCGTCACTAACCACACCACCACCGTCAATAACCACACCACCACCGTCACTAACCACACCACCACCGTCACTAACCAACCACCACCACTAACCACACCACCGTAACCACACCACCACCGTCATAACCACACCACCACCGTCACTAACCACACCACCACCGTCACTAACCACACCACCACCGTCCCTAACCACACCCTCACCGTCAATAACCACACCACCACCGTCACTAACCACACCGCCACCGTCAATAACCACACCACCACCGTCACTAACCACACCACCACCGTCACTAACCACACCCCCACCGTCACTAACCACACCACCGTCACTAACCACACCACCACCGTCACTAACTACACCACCACCGTCACTAACCACACCACCACCGTCACTAACCACACCACCACCGCTACTAACCACACCACCACCGTCACTAACCACACCACCACCGCTACTAACCACACCACCACCGTCACTAACCACACCCCCACCGTCAATAACCACCCCACCACCGTCACTAACCACACCCCCACCGTCACTAACCACACCACCACCGTCACTAACCACACCACCACCGTCACTAACCACACCACCACCGTCACTAACCACACCACCACCGTCACTAACCACACCACCACCGTCACTAACCACACCACCACCGTCACTAACCACACCCCCACCGTCAATAACCACACCACCACCGTCACTAACCACACCACCACCGTCACTAACCACACCACCACCGTCACTAACCACACCACCACCGCTACTAACCACACCACCACCGTCACTAACCACACCACCACCGTCACTAACCACACGTCCACCGTCACTAACCACACCACCACCGTCACTAACCACACCACCACCGTCACTAACCACACCCCCACCGTCACTAACCACACCACCGTCACTAACCACACCACCACCGTCACTAACCACACCCCCAGCGTCACTAACCACACCACCACCGTCACTAACCACACCCCCAGCGTCACTAACCACACCATCACCGTCACTAACCACACCACCACCGTCACTAACCACACCACCACCGTCACTAACCACACACCACCACCGTCACTAACCACACCACCACCACCGTCACTAACCACACCCCACACCGTCACTAACCACACCACCACCGTCACTAACCACACCACCACCGTCACTAACCACACCCCCACCGTCACTAACCACACCACCAGCGTCACTAACCACACCACCACCGTCACTAACCACACCACCACCGTCACTAACCACACCACCACCGTCACTAACCACACCACCACCACCGTCACTAACCACACCACCACCGTCACTAACCACACCACCACCGTCACTAACCACACCACCACCACCGTCACTAACCACACCACCACCGTCACTAACCACACCACCACCGTCACTAACCACACCCAACAGTAGCACCAACATACGCTACCTCAAGAGGGACCATGAACTCCGGCAGCTCGGAAGGGGGACGTCGAAACGACTTCACACTTGGTTATAATGACTCTTAATTGGGTCTTCGGGAGCCGCAAACCGCCGGTCTAGCCGCCCGCATTACAGCCGACGTCGCCTCAGCCGATGACGGCCGACAACATAATAGCACATTCCACGCCTGCGTGAAGCACAAATTATGAGTCGTCGCACCGTACGTATATTTTTCCCCCCGTGACGGGTTTCTGTTGAGGATCAGTGCCTTGCTTCTGTCCCCATTTCTTGCGCCGAATATTTTACCCAATTTTTAAATGCAATTATTTTCACGCTGCTTACAGCTGAACGATTTAAATAATTAGCGGATGGCGGTGTGAAATTATAATTATCCAGGAGAGCATGGATAATTTCCAACTATTTTCGCCATTCAGTGGTGGTGCTTAGTGTGTAATTATTCAACACATTTGAGCTCCGGGAAATAACAATGATTACCGGGAGCTTCCCTTTCGTGCTCACTGCACCTCCCGCGTGATGGACTCTAATAGAGCTCTTCATCAGCGGGATCCATTCACCTTTTAGAATTAATTGAAACATCCATCATTTTTTTTACGTTATTAATGACAGAGCTTTGTGTGACAAAGTGTGTGTGTGTGTGTGTGTGTGTGTGTGTGTGTGTGTGTGTGTGTGTGTGTGTGTGTGTACTCACCTATTTGTGCTTGCGAGGGTTGAGCTTTGGCTCTTTGGTCCCGCCTCTCAACTGTCAAACCCCGCCTCTCAACTGTGTGTGTGTGTGTGTGTGTGTGTGTGTGTGTGTGTGTGTGTGTGTGTGTGTGTGTGTGTGTGTGTGTGTGTGTGTGTGTGTGTGCTTGCGAGGGTTGAGCTTTGGCTCTTTGGTCCCGCCTCTCAACTGTCAAACCCCGCCTCTCAACTGTGTGTGTGTGTGTGTGTGTGTGTGTGTGTGTGTGTGTGTGTGTGTGTGTGTGTGTACTCACCTAGTTGTGTCTGCAGGATCGAGCATTGACTCTTGGATCCCATTGACTCTTGGATGTGTGTGTGTGTGTGTGTGTGTGTGTGTGTGTGTGTGTGTACTTACCTATTTGTATTCACCTATTTGTGCTTGCGGGGGTTGAACTTTGGCTCTTTGGTCCCGCCTCTCAACTGTCAAACCCTGCCTCTCAACTGTGTGTGTGTGTGTTTGTGTGTGTGTGTGTGTGTGTGTGTGTGTGGAGGGGGGGGGGTATTGTTGGGTTCCGTCTGCCGCCCCGTTCGTTGTCTGGCTTGTGTGTTAAATTATCTGTCAGTCTAGATGCCTGCTTCCTTATTTATCTGTTTATTCACAGTAATACTTACGTAGCTAAATGGCTGCGTGCTCGCTTCTCTGCGTCCCAGCTGTCGCTACAGCTGCAGGTGCAGCTCAAGAGTCTGTATTTAATAAGACTCAGTGTAGTCTTATTACATTCACTTATTTTCTCGCTTTCCCTACCTCACTGTTTCCTTAGTTGACTGTGAGGCTGTCTACTTGCATAGTTCTTGCAAGTCTACTTGGACATATTCTACCTGTCCTTCCCACCTGTCTACCTGCTTATCTACCGCCTGCCTGCCTGCCTGTCAGTCAACAGTTTTGAATATATAATCAAGCACACATTAGTGTGATGATATTTTCTTAACCTGAGAGTACACACAGTGGCCGCACTGGTGTTGATGTAAGTGTAATGGGTCCTGCCAGTACACCCTGACCTCAGCGCTACACCACACGCCTGATCTCTACTACACTCTCCTACCTTGTTATTGTTAAGCTGCTGATGTGATGTTCATCTATCGCTGTGTATCGCTATATTCATTACTGTTAACAATAGAACATCACTCACACCTGCTGATAATTCTACTTCGCAAAGGTATTAGATCAAGACTCCTTCTCCCTCCACCGCTCACCCATTCCTGTCTCCCTTTTCCATCCCTTCCCCTGTCCGCCTTCCTGTCTTATCCTTTATTCTCTTTCCCGGTTCCCTCTACAATCCATTACAATGTCCCTCTAGTTTTGTTCCTACACTCACCTCCTTCCTCTCACACTCTACCACTCACACCCTCACAAACTCACCCCCCCCCCCCCCTCCCGTGCCCACCCCTCTACAAATATCCTCCCCCCCCCCACACCTTGCACGGCAGCACAGCGTACAACAAAAGCACATTAAAAAAAAGGCAAAGTAAATTGGTATTAAGTCAGCGCGGCGGGACCCAACCAGTAGCAGTGAACCCGACTTGCCGAACTGTAATTACCATTGTCGCGCAGATGATGCATGCTGGATAATTAAGTCTTCTTTATCGCCATTACGGCTATTATTGCACGCTCTATAATTGGGTCTGAAATCAATTATATGCAATTAATACCAAGGGCAACCGACACTCGGCCGTAATGGAGGGAAGTCGAGTTTGAGGTCGCCGCTATGATAATGATCGACTTCATTAAATCTGCTAATGACTATTGCCAGAGAGGATCATTAAAGACGACGAATTCGCCATACGGAGGGTTCAGGCCTGGAGGGTAGGTGATGGGCTCACCTAGTTCATATCTACGACGAGCGAGACCAAGCTGTGGGGCTCCGTCTCTCACACCTGCTGCCACTGGGGCATGTGTATCCATAACTGGCTACACATGCACGCCAGGACGCTGTCGTAATTGCTCTTGACGCTGTGAATGGTGGCCACTTCCACCACCTCTGGCTCAAGTTCAATCCAATTGTTTACCATAGTCACTGTGTACGCGCTTGTCTTAGCCTCTTGGACCAAGAGGCTAAGTTAAGTGACTAAGATAAGTGACAGTTATCGACTATCACAAGTCGATAACTTGGACAGTAGAACTCTCGAGACCCTCTCCAGGTATGCCCCAGGTAAGTTTACAGTCCTCTGGCCGGTCTCTGGTCTGAACTTCCACCTGTGCAACATTGTACTATTGTCCCTCCAGTGGAAAATGTGTCTCGCTCCACTCTGACTATGCCCTCCAGTATCTTGTATGTTGTGATCATATAGTCTTTGCTCCTTATCTAGACCAATGCGTTAGATTTCGCTCTCTTAGTTTGTTCTTACAGCTCCTCATTCTTATCTCTAATCCATATTTCGTGACATAACCCTGGGCTCAACCCAATTTTCTTCGTGTGCTTACTAATTGTGTTGAATAACTGTGAGAGGTAAAGATGGTGTGTTGGTGTTAATTCAATGGTTCTATATACTTCTTGTGAGGGAGGAGCCGACTTCCTGGTGGTGAAGGTAGTGTTCCTTGAGTGTTGGGTACGATTTGGAGTATTAGCCAGGGTGACTTTGGTTTGTTGTATTGATCACAACGTGGTATTGTCTGTGCTTTATTCCGTTTCGTGTATAATGCCCAGTGTAGCGTGGCAATCTTGCCGGGTGGGATGGTGTCGGTACTGGAGTGCTGTTAGTCTGTTTATGGTGCAGGTATGGTTTTGGAGGTGCCATCCCAGTTGTCAGTCAGTTGTGCTTCATGTAAACACGTTGACTTCTGCTGCCTCGTCAGGACGAGACGCTCCTATACGTTGATACCTGGTTGATACCTGGTTGATGGGGTTCTGGGAGTTCTTCTACTCCCCAAGCCCGGCCCGAGGCCAGGCTTGACTTGTGAGAGTTTGGTCCACCAGGCTGTTGCTTGGAGCGGCCCGCAGGCCCACATACCCACCACAGCCCGGCCCATACGTGCTCCATAAACCTGCTCCTTCACACTCCCAGGCTTCACAAATTACACACCTGCTCCTGCCCGCACTTAGGCTTCACACACTACACATAGAATTCAACATCAATGGAAAAGGGCGTGCCGTGTCCTTCACTAGATTATGAAGGTTGAACATAACGCCGCGCTTTAATCTGCCGACCACATTACATCAGGCTCCCGAATTACTCGCAGTAGTTAACTCGCCTTCGTGAAGCAATTAGACTATGTCTTTCTCCCCCCATCACCCCAGGGGGCTGGCTGGAGGTCGTCACACCCCCGAGAACTATCTGGGGGAAGTCATATCTCAAGGAACTATCTGGTGAAGGTCAAACTCTCAGGGACTGTCTTAGTAAGGTCACTCCCAAGGACTGTCTAAGGAAGGTCACACTCTCAGGGACTGTCTAAGGAAGGTCACTCTCAGGGACTGTCTAAGGAAGGTCACACTCTCAGGGACTGTCTAAGGAAGGTCACTCTCAGGGACTGTCTAAGGAAGGTCACTCTCAGGGACTGTCTAAGGAAGGTCACTCTCAGGGACTGTCTGAGGAAGGTCACACTCTCAGGGACTGTCTAAGGAAGGTCACACTCTCAGGGACTGTCTAAGGAAGGTCACTCTCAGGGACTGTCTAAGGAAGGTCACACTCTCAGGGACTGTCTAAGGAAGGTCACTCTCAGGGACTGTCTAAGGAAGGTCACTCTCAGGGACTGTCTAAGGAAGGTCACTCTCAGGGACTGTCTGAGGAAGGTCACACTCTCAGGGACTGTCTGAGGAAGGTCACACTCTCAGGGACTGTCTAAGGAAGGTCACTCTCAGGGACTGTCTGAGGAAGGTCACACTCTCAGGGACTGTCTAAGGAAGGTCACTCTCAGGGACTGTCTGAGGAAGGTCACACTCTCAGGGACTGTCTGAGGAAGGTCTCAGGGACTGTCTAAGGAAGGTCACTCTCAGGGACTGTCTGAGGAAGGTCACACTCTCAGGGACTGTCTGAGGAAGGTCACACTCTCAGGGACTGTCTGAGGAAGGTCACTCTCAGGGACTGTCTGAGGAAGGTCACACTCTCAGGGACTGTCTGAGGAAGGTCACACTCTCAGGGACTGTCTGAGGAAGGTCACACTCTCAGGGACTGCCTGAGGAAGGTCACACTCTCAGGGACTGTCTGAGGAAGGTCACACTCTCAGGGACTGTCTGAGGAAGGTCACACTCTAAGGGACTGTCTGAGGAAGGTCACTCTCAGGGACTGTCTGAGGAAGGTTACTCTCAGGGACTGTCTAAGGAAGGTCACTCTCAGGGACTGTCTGAGAAGGTCACACTATCAGGGACTGTGAGGAAGGTCACACTCTCAGGGACTGTCTGAGGAAGGTCACTCTCAGGGACTGTCTGAGGAAGGTCACACTCTCAGGGACTGTCTAAGGAAGGTCACTCTCAGGGACTGTCTGAGGAAGGTCACTCTCAGGGACTGTCTGAGGAAGGTCACACTCTCAGGGACTGTCTGAGGAAGGTCACATTCTCAGGGACTGTCTGAGGAAGGTCACTCTCAGGGACTGTCTGAGGAAGGTCACACTCTCAGGGACTGTCTGAGGAAGGTCACACTCTCAGGGACTGTCTGAGGAAGGTCACACTCTCAGGGACTGTCTGAGGAAGGTCACACACTCAGGGACTGTCTGAGGAGGTGTCTCAGGAAGGGAAGGTCACACTCTCAGGGACTGTCTGAGGAAGGTCACACTCTCAGGGACTGTCTGAGGAAGGTCACTCTCAGGGACTGTCTGAGGAAGGTCACACTCTCAGGGACTGTCTGAGGAAGGTCACACTCTCAGGGACTGTCTGAGGAAGGTCACACTCTCAGGGACTGTCTGAGGAAGGTCACACTCTCAGGGACTGTCTGAGGAAGGTCACACTCTCAGGGACTGTCTGAGGAAGGTCACACTCTCAGGGACTGTCTGAGGAAGGTCACTCAGGGACTGTTTAAGGAAGGTCACTCTCAGGGACTGTCTGGGGAGATCTTACTCCCAGGGACTGTCTGAAGGAAGGTCACACTCATTAGTTATTAATTATTGGAATTATTAGGTATATATAATTATCTTTATTGCATTTAGTGAGAGAGAGAAAGAGAGTTGGTGGTAGTGTTGGTAGATGGTTGTTGTTGGTGGTAGTGTTGGTAGATGGTTGTTGTTGGTGGTAGTGTTGGTAGATGGTTGTTGTTGGTGGTAGTGTTGGTAGATGGTTGTTGTTGGTGGTAGTGTTGGTAGATGGTTGTTGTTGGTGGTAGTGTTGGTAGATGGTTGTTGTTGGTGGTAGTGTTGGTAGATGGTTGTTGTTGGTGGTAGTGTTGGTAGATGGTTGTTGTTGGTGGTAGTGTTGGTAGATGGTTGTTGTTGGTGGTAGTGTTGGTAGATGGTTGTTGTTGGTGGTAGTGTTGGTAGATGGTTGTTGTTGTGGTAGTGTTGGTAGATGGTTGTTGTTGGTGGTAGTGTTGGTAGATGGTTGTTGTTGGTGGTAGTGTTGGTAGATGGTTGTTGTTGGTGGTAGTGTTGGTAGATGGTTGTTGTTGGTGGTAGCGTTGGTAGATGGTTGTTGTTGGTGGTAGTGTTGGTAGATGGTTGTTGTTGGTGGTAGTGTTGGTAGATGGTTGTTGTTGGTGGTAGTGTTGGTAGATGGTTGTTGTTGGTGGTAGTGTTGGTAGATGGTTGTTGTTGGTGGTAGTGTTGGTAGATGGTTGTTGTTGGTGGTAGTGTTGGTAGATGGTTGTTGGTGGTGGTAGTGTTGGCAGATGGTTGTTGGTGGTACTCTTTCAATTCCCCCTTCTCTCCTTCACCCTCTTTCCACCTCTCTTCCAGCCTTTCCACCACCTCTTCAAACTCTCCTCACTCCTTTTCTTCCTGTCTCTCATTTTTCTCTCTTTCTCTCTTCCCCCTCCCTTTCCCACTCCCCAAACACACATTACAATTGTTACAGTGTTGGAACGTTGTAACAACATTGTGAAAACGTTGTGGTTACAATAGTATAACGATTTTTTTTTAAATTGAAAACTCTTACCCCCCCCCCCCCCCCCGGCCCATTTCAAACTTCATTAGTCGATCCTTTATTGAACATGTTCAAGAGAACCGACCTCAACCCACCTAAGACTCCCCATAAAATCACAAATAACTATGCCAAATTGAGTCTAGCCCCAAGTATCTGACCTCCAAGTTTGGACAGAAATTCTAGTATATTGATATAGATATGTCTAACCCTTTCTTTGAAACAAATCCTGCGATCCAAGAGCTCTATTCCCAAGCCTATCACCATTTTTAAAGGCTGAGATGAAGTGCATACAAATTAACCTGAGCAACCGAATATATAACCTAGAGAGATGAGCTTAAGTAAGATCTTGCATAGGCCAATAGGCGTTCTGTAGTTCCCTACTTATGTTCTTATGATGGCTGGAGCAGTGTGCTGGATATCTCCAACGTGTTTGAATGTCTCCAAAGCTAGACATTCCAGAGTCTGCCCTCCGTAACCTTCTGAAGATTTGCACCAAAATGGCCCCATTCACAACCTCTCGGGAAGACGTGTACGCAGACAGACGGAGTAGCCATGGGGTCCCCACTAGCAGATCTCTTTGCTAACTTCTATATGGGAACACTAGAAGACATCATCTTCAAAACCACAGGGAAACCTCGCATGCACTGCAGATACATTGATAATATATTCGGATGCGCGAAAGATCTCCAGGAATTAAAGGATTAAAAGATCGATTAAAGGATCTACTTACCCAAGACACAGTTCTTAACTTTACCCATGAACTAGGCATCGATGGTGCCCTTTCCTCCATGTCTTCGTAAGAACCCCAGACAACACTTTCACCACATAAGTTTATACTAACCCCACCAACGTTGGAATGTGGGTCACTGCGAATGCCCAGACAGATATAAGACTAGTGCAATAAACACATTTATACACACAGCCATTACTCAGTGTTGTGACTGGCACAACATCCACAAGGAACTGGACAGAAGCCTTCAAGTATTAGTAAACAACGGATACACG